TTGTAGTCGTAGTCGCAGTCGTAGTAAGTAGTAGTAGTCGTCGTCGTCGAGGTGGTAGTAGAAGTAGTAGTAGTAGTAGTAGCAGCAGCAGCAGCAGTAGCAGGAGCAGTAGCAGCAGCAGCAGCAGTAGGCGTAGCGGTAGCCCTAGTCCTGGTCCCCTAGTCCCAGTCCCAGTACTTGTACTAACAACTGTTGTGGATATTGCTGCAGCTCCAGCAACAGGAGGAGTATTTAGGAGGAGTCGGGGTCGTAGGTCGCGGGTCGGACGTCGGAGGTTGTGCGTGGGTGGGTGGGTGCGTGGGTGGGTGGGGTGTGGGTGGGTTAGTCTGGGTTGGTTTGGGTTGGTGTGGGTTCGGGTGGGTGAGTAGGGTAGTTTCGCGTAGCTGACGGTAGGTTCGGGGAGCTTAGGGAAGGGGTTTAGGTGAGGAAAGTAGGCAGGTAGGTACGTAGGTAATTGCTGCTGGCCAGGAGACCTGCTGTGCAGAAACCCAAGACGGACACCACCACGAAGCGCTTGTCCTGGAGAACCGCAAACATGCAGAACAGCAGCACGCAATTAAGCCCATAGAGAGAGGCAGCTCTCCTTCTTGCCGGTCTTTGGGTCTGGTGCCAGCTGCTCCAGGAACAGAGGCGCCTGAAGGAAGCGGAAGGAAAATTGAAGAGTCTAACCAAACCCACACTCTTGCAACCTCACGCTGCAGGCTCCAAGGAGAGCACGTTGTAGTGCGCCAGGAAGGCTGTTGCCAAAATGCTCAACAAGACGCTGAGACCTGCAAGTTGCAGAGAATGAAAAGAGAAATCGAGAAGGAAGCGAGCGAGACAGAAAAAAGAAGACTCCAGGAAACCCGTGCCACCTGCCAACCCTGGTTAACTTGATTTCTCTTATTTACTGCCCTACAGTAACGAGTCCCAGGACCGATCAATTCATTCCTCAGTCGATCTTTCTAGCATTCCGCAATCGCTCGCATGAGCTAGTCTGTGTCCGAACGACGCACAGACTACGGCGTGAGGATGTGCAGACCGATCCCACAGATGAAAGACGAAATCAGACAATCAAACAGGCGGGCGGAAGAGCACCAACAAAAGCAACCAAACAAACTCCGACTCAACCGGCTTAGCCGCAATTTGAGGTAGGAATAGTAGGAAACATAGTCACCTGATCCAACACGATCCAGCGCTGATGGCAACTTATCGTCCAAAGCCTAGGCGTAGAAGATAGAATGCTCTTCGTTTTCCAGATTTTTGGCCGCTGGCGCGATGCCCAGATTCTTCTGAAATTTGCGTCTGATGATTTTGTTTGTTCTGGTCACTGCACGTGCGCGCGTACACGACGCGCAAGTTATCTGGTATTGAGCTGGGTATTGGTCAGTTTTGATGTTAATTGAACCAGACTGCTGATGGACCGTCGAACTATGCCAGATCGCGCCTGGACTCATCACGGTGTGCCAGGCGCCCGTAGGCGCAGCGAACCTGTGTGATCAGGGCACTGCGATAGCTTTGGGGATCCGGTTCAGGCCCAGACTGTGGCGCAGCGGGTGCTGCAGCCAGCAAGCTGCCTCCCTGGGAGGGTATTATCTAGGAACTGCCGGGGACTTGCACGAATATTATGTCCCACTCTGGCTAGGTGCACCTTCTGGTAGGAGTGGTCCCAGCAGCGCAACACCACGAAAGCACAAATGTAGAAGTTACTGAGCCTTGATTCGAACGAATCTTGCCGGCAGTGACTCGCAGGCTGCAGCTTGGACAGCGGCACACCCAGCAGAGAAAACTTGGCCAGTGGTGCGAACCTGACTCTACAACTGCGTCCTGGTGTTCGAAGTCCGGATTCAAAGATGTGAGAGATGTGCAAGGGTCTGGGAGCACAGCGACTTCATGCTGCAAAGAGGGTACAGTACCTGACGGTGCCCAGGGTGTGGCCATGAAGCTGGAAATCTGTCCCTCACAACGGTTACCTGATATTGGGCACCACTATGGTCATCAGCAAGATCACTGCGTCACGGCTGGCAATCACTGCAGGCCTTGCACTGTTGAAGTGGCAGAGAATGGGCAAGGCGAAAGAAGGATGGAACAGCATATTAGCAACATTGCTAGCCGACTGACCACGCTACAAGCATAGTGTCTTGGCCAAAACAGGACACACATGGCACAACTAAACATGCTCGTTCAGCTGGTAAGCGCTCAAAGGCAGGCTTCGGGACTACCGTGAACTCAGGCATCTCGCTGAGGACGCAGCAGATTCAGTGGAGCTAGCCTTAGTCTAAAGCTTGCTCATCATTGACTCATCATTGCCTCTGACGTGATTGAAGCATGTTAATGCACTGAAAGCAGAGCTGATAAGAAGTGTATCATCAGCTTTGCTTCGAGTGCTTCAATTCGTGGAGACGGGAGTCAGGGCTGTACTTCGAATGGACAGGCTTCGCACGGCCTAGGGAGTACGGCCAGTCTATGGCCACTCTTTCAATATTGGAATTCAAGAGCAATGGTTGGTCGGCTTTGGCTTTCAAGGCTATGCATTCTGGGCTCCTGGATAGCTTCAAGGTCTCCGAGGATATGCGATGGAAGATCTTCGACGCCTTCAAACCTCGAACAAACGAGTGCAGACATGCCGCATCAAGGAGATGCAGTCACCCAGAATCATGGAGAAGGAGATGCATCCGATTGCAGCCTGCAAGCGTGTAGCAGACACCCCACGATCCATGCAATGTACTTGTGATGTGTGACAGGATCAAGATGTCCTGAGGCTCGCATTTTTGACGATGACTAACTGCCCCATGCTGACGAGCATGATGCGAATGAATCTCAAGCCTCTTTGATGGCTTGTTGACTTGCCCAAGTCCGCTTGAACATCACTTTAATTATCGTTTACAAGTCTTGAAGAATTTACGGTCAACCAGCTATGTCTCTCGCGACGTATCCTCGTGATTTGGCCACGAGCTTCATGCGCCGCTGTGGGACAATCATACCGCTTGCCCCACCCGGTCGATATTTCAACTTGAGGCAGAACGGGCTTCCGCAAGACATTCTCTAAAATCTGACTTGATGACCAGACGCTGCCTTGGACTTGAACTCGTGGACAGATACTGTATGGGAGATGTGGTTGGTGTGGCTGGAGTGTTGGGATATGACGGGCAATGTGCATGATCATCACCACTCACCACAGCAGGCCACGATTGCAACAATTGCAGGCTGCTTGGACACGTGCTGTTGGTTGAGCATCGATAGAGTCGGACCAAAGATGACAAAGAAAGACAACGTCCGCTCGGATTCAAGCGTGGCTGCGAAGCTATTGCTCATGCAGCCGTCAGCTGGATTTTTGAGTTTATGGCTCGGAAGGCACACAATGACTCGGATAACTTATCGGGCAGAAAGGCTTGATGAGACCTGTACTGCGTTGCAGCACATTATGTCTCGTAGTGCTGACAGGGTTCCTATCGGCTTCGTGATGAAATTTCCCGAGCCTTCGCAAGGCAGGCGACTGCAGGCAGGAGCTTCGTGCTCTCGGAAATGCTCCGGGCCCAAACCCTGAGCAACGCTGCGGTATGCATACTTATAGAGTGTACATACCCCGACACCGCCCGACTCAGCTTCTTGGCCTGGTGTAGGTGCTCTCACCTGTTGCCTCGCATGCTTGGGCAATCAAGACCTCAGAGGCGGTCTCAAAGGCGGTGCAAGACCGGAATCAGAGATGAGAACTATGCACCCCGGAAACTCAGAGGGCGGCAAACCCATAGGCACCTCGGTGACATGCCTCTTGCAATTGACCCAAACAAGCCTGAAATGGCCTGAAACCCTAGATTTGTGATGAACTCCAAAGCACTGACGTTCAGGTTTTTGTCCAGGCCAACTCTCCCCGCGGCCTCACCCACGCCACTCGTTTTATTCGTTCTTGGGCTTCTCACCCAAACCTAGCTGCCCTGTTGACCTGCGGAGTTCCAGCAGTCTTGAGGTCGGCACTGAATACCGCGGCAAGGAAAGTGAGAATCAGCGACGGTGCCACGGCCTCTCTGCGAGTGGCATGTCGAATTGAATTGATATCAAGGAGCATGTCATCGAACACCGCTGCAGCTGTTCGGTCGCGTGGCCTGAGGGCTTGCACTCACAGCTGCCACCTGAAAGGACCACTATTTACATTTAGATTCACTGCAGCATTGGTACAGCCGCGGTTGAGCCCTGAGACTTTGGCACCATGGGGAAGGGAGAGCATGCCGGCGCCAACAATATTCTTGACCAGATTGACCTGAGTCTTGCTGAGTGCTGAAATAAGTGTGGATTCTGATTCATGCCGGACCGTGCTCTTGGAAGGCGACTGTGGACTGCGTAACAGAGCTCAGCTTCACCTGAAACTTGTAGAGATATGAACAAACGACGCCAGCGAAACACACTTTCCGAAAACGCGGAAACCGAGGCACCTCCTGAGGCATTTCCTGCGCCTCGGACTCATCGGTGGAACTTCTGCAAATCGCACGTGTCATACGCGTCCTGTGAGGGAACGGAAAAGACTGCGAAACTGCTTGGAGAAGCAGGCGATGCACTGTCACGCGTCCTGCCCCATTTGAGGTGGCTTCGCTCCTGTGTATAGCACTGCGCCCAAGGAAGAGGAGCTCACGATTGGTGCTGTGTGACTGCGCGTAGGCGAGCTACCAACAGCGCGCTGCTGGTACGAGTACCTGGTGAAAGACGCGCTGACGAGCTGCTTAGCCATGAAGGCGCTAAAGAATGGCAATCGGCGAGAAGAAACAAAATGCTACATTTGGGGGCGAACAAGCGTTCCGCGCAGGAGCCGCAAATGACGGGTCCTGTCCACGCAGAAATCAAAGACAGTCACGGCAGGACAATGCCTCTACAGTCTCAACAGACTACGCGATGCACCAAGGGCCTGAGATACATGCCGCAGAAGTGCGACTAGAAGCAGACATGATGTGCACCTGCCATAAAACAAGCTGGGTGCTGAAGGCAGCAGGAAGTGTCAGCGGGGCCCTGCCTTCTGAAGGTCACGCATCCCTGGCTTGCCGAAAGAGAACTACTGCTGGTCGGAATCACAGACATCTGTCAATACCCAGCTTCGATTTGTCACGACTGCTTCAACAATATACCAGCTCTGTACCCCAAGGGCAAGAACACAGGCCATGCCATTTCTGCCACGGGGCCCGCGATCTTGAGGAGCAAGGAGCGTCCCGGGGCATTGCGGCTATCAGCATAGCAGAAACTGCTAAAGGAAGGCACTTTTCTTTCGACTACTATGGCACTTCGTCGCATCACTTCTTACGCTTGGGCCGTATCAAACGTGGCTTCAGCCGTGGTGAAAGACTGAAGGACTGGAGCCGCTTCAGTGGCACTTGCGAGACGGGGCCAGGTAACGCTGCAGCGCTCACACATCTGATTCAGCTTTCAATCTATCCTCATCGTCAAAACGGTGCTGCGGAGCCGTCTGCCCGAGAATCTCCGCTCTGATCTTTTTGCAAAGCGGACAGCTGGGCATCTGTGGTCTGAAAGTACCATCAGCAACATCCTAAGATGAAACCGGTCAGCGCGTCTTCACGACGAAGCTGCAGAGCCTTCTGCCCGAGCGTCATTCATTCCGCTCTTATCTCTCCCAACGCAGGCAGCTGGGCATCCGTCGTCTGAGAAATGTTGGAGAAGGGTACTTTCAGTCTGAAAGTACCATCTCGAACATCCTACTACACTGCATTGTCATTGATGCAGATGAAACCGGTCAGTACGTCCTGTCAACGCTTGAAACCTGCAGTCGTTGGCTCGTCTTAGGATCGACGAATACGTCATTCCGAATACAAACAGAGCTCTGAACCTGCGCCAACCCACAGGCGATGCAGGGCGCCGGCCTGGCCTGGAACAGGCACCTGGGTCATGGCCAGCAATCCTTAGAGGGGCGAGGCTAGTGAAAATCGTTACGGTGGTCACGGGCATTGCCGGCAAGCGGCGGCCGTTGGCGGCAGGATTGAAGTGGTACGCTGTTGGATCACCTGCTTTGGGCTCAGGGAGGTCAAGCCGGCCGGCTTCTGCGAGGCGGAGCGGCTCATTGACAAGTTTGTCATTGCCGGCGTTTCTGGAAATGCCGATGCGCTGCGGGAGTGTAGAATCTATCTAATCACAAGGTTACCAGATGTGTCTTCGTCGTTCTGCGTCCTGTGCAATTCAAGTCGGGACTTGAACGCATGGACTAATTGAGTCTTTTGTTGAGAAGGGCCCGCCTATTGCTGGATTTAGGCGTGGCTGCCAAGCTAGCACGCATGAGGACAAGGGGGGAATATACGTATACATACATACATACATACATACATACATACATACATACATACATACATACATATATATATGTATATATATATATATAGAGATAGTAGATAGATAGATAGATAGATAGATAGACAGGTCATGCGGAGGAGATGGTTGATCCTGCTGCGTTCTGGCTGGTTGCGATGGCCGGGTGCAAAAGGGACTCCAACAGTGATAAGACGTGGCAGGGGAAGCTGCAGTGTCAAGAATGCAGATCGCGGCACCTGTGCTGCGCGCACGAAGTGGAGAAAGCTCACGATGCCTGGCGCATAATCAGACCACGAAGAAAGCTCAACGCAGCTGTAAGTGGATCAACCCACGTTCTTATCCGACATATCCGACTGGACGCGAAACATCCTGGTCTTGACTTCTTCTTTGAAGGCCTGGGCTGATATTGCATTGTAGACCTTATCGGTGACACTCCTCGAATAGGCGAAGCCCCCCGCACCGGTGAAGCACCTGGCAAGATTTTGGTGGAGCATGTCAGCAGCAAAGGTGCGGAGCCGCCTTGCCTCGGATAGGCGAGGCTTCACGAATAGCTTCACGGACGGGAGACATCGGCCTTCCAATCCTGCAGTCAAGCAGTCGTTGCGGTGTCTGTTTAGCTGCAAAACCACCTGTTGTGTGGAGCTCCCGCCTCGTGGTAACAGAATGGAGCACTGGTGGCCCAAAGCCAACAACCGTGGGAGGGCCGTAGCCTGAGATTTCATTGTGTAGGCCGTGTAGGCGCAAACCCTTCCGAATGGAACTCACGAGCTGCGATGGCCATTGCCTCCAAGACACTAACGGTGGTGAAAGAAGGAGTCGGGGCAATCTCCCCGCCTGCAAAAGCAGCACACTAGGGAAGGATTTCCGATTCATACACACAGTGTTTGCCTGCAAACTGCTCGTATCCATCTTCGTATCCTCCACCGGCATCATATACACCACCGCCGTCGCCATCCAAGCTACCAAAGTAATCAGCCGCCAAAGGAGCTTGGATCGATCCGTAAGAAGCTGGATGCATGCCTCGGCAGTTCTTGCGTGCGAACCCGTCTCAGAACACCAACAGCATCACGTGATTCACACTGTACGAGCTCACGAAGATTACAACGAAATCTCTCATAAGCAGGACCGACACTCCAACCCTTCGATGCAGGTCCGTGCGAGGGCCGGCTTCGTCTTACATACTAAACCTCCCTCGGCGCGATTGTCAGACCAAGAGAGATTGAGATGCAGCTCAAAACAGTGGCCTGTACAAGAAAGCTGACCGAGTACTAGTGCTCGTTCAGTCTCCACGTCAATCACGTGATGCCACGGTGCCAAGGTCGGAAACCGGGCCATGGTCGCTGTAGATGTCTGCTTCACGGGTGACGGGCAAGCCGATGCTCCCACAGTAGCCTCGAGACAGACCTAACTTCCTCCACCTGTCTCAACTGCGGTAGGTACTTATACTGTATACCATGGACGAATGTGATGGAATCGGACTCTTGAATCTCTGCCAAGCATCAGGCTCGTGACCTTGGATTGCAATCGAGCAGCATGACTGGAATCCACGATTTCCTACTGTGGAGCTGTGCAGAAGAATCCAAATCGCAATTGATGCTTGCCAGCAAGGCACTGCTGGTAGTTTTGTGCCGGCGTTGAAGCCGGATAGTCAGGATAGATTTCATCAGCATATGGAGTAACATCAGCATATGGAGTAACAGGTGCAGGTTCCGGTGGAACATATGCAGGTTCCGGCGGAACATATCCCGGATAGGAAATTGGCTGCCTAGGTTCGCAAAAAAGGGCCAGCACCCGAAGTTACAAGCAGAAGCCCCCATCACCATCGCGGTCATGCTTACGGCACTTCTTATGTCCTTCAAGCCACACCCCAGACCGTGAGAACTGGCAGTCCTTGCAATGCTGCTTACATCACACCTCCACTGACCTGGGCAACGTCCACGACCGGTCGCACGGGGAAGCAAAAGCCTTTTTGACCTTTTCAAGATGTGGCCGGCTCATGCCGGCTCTGAGATACGAACCGCCTCAGCCCTGCAGCGCAGGATTACGGCAAAGCTAAGTTTTTGTTTACTGGGAGCCATGCCCGAGACGTTTCAACTCCAAGCCTGGCCGGTTCATGCTGCAGTGTCCCTACAACACAATCCGGGTTTGTTCAGCGGACAGACCTAGCAGTTCTCATAATAGAGATGCATTTTTTCCGTTGTTGTAGCTGCGTTGTACGCGAGTGCCCGAATCTGTGAATGTAAGCCTTGCAAGCTCGAGCGATCTTGCTCGATGAAACAAATGGCATGAACTATATTGACATGAGCCGAGAGGCACAGAACATTCCACAGGTGCCAGTTGTTCCTGTTGATATTGGCCTGCAACTGAGCTCCAAAACCATCACTTGCGCTGTTAAATCGGTCATGATTTGGCCCCGCTTCCACCCTGCTAAAGCAACACGGCGAGTCTGGGTGAGTCTGCAGCAAACTGCACCTGGATCCAATGCTGCGAATTTGCCAGAGAGGTCCTTGCAACCCCGCGAAACTTCTGCATGCAGTAACTGCAAGCTCCAATCGCGGTCTATGCTGCCTATAGCTGCGACACAGCGAGATGGTGTGCCAGCGCGTCCTCAGTTACAACCTCGATCTGCTTGATGAGCTCCTTCTCCATGACGCTCATTTGCTGTCAGGGAACGAGGGCATAAACCGGTATTATGGTACTGCTACAACATGACCATAATGTCTGCAGGGCCTGCTGAATCTTCTGCTCCATTTGAGCGACGGGCTCTGCACTTATCGTGGCCAACTCAGACAGCACAAAACTCATCACTTGCAGCAGCATGCAGCAGCTCTGCTTGTCCATACTCGAACAAGAACATAGCAACCACGAGCCTGAGACACCACAGAACTTCTGGGCTGGCGAACTGCATACGCCACCCTGAAATATCTCGAAACTTCTCCGCCAAGCCGCGACCTTAACCAGATCGGAATTGTCGCCGAGGCTGCCTCTCGTCACCACAGGCGAGAGGGGAGGCCTGGAGGACAATGGGGGACATCTGCTCAAGTCCTGCCTCTGGTTGGCGCTGCCTTGGATTATGCACCGCTGTGAAGCACCAAAGCACTATATTTTATGTCGGGACAGAAGAGTTGCAGCCCTTTCAACGAGGGGCCAAGCTCTGAACAGACGACTCCATGTTGTCAGAGCGGAGCTTTTGGTCTGCCAGGTCCTTCTCGAGACGCTTGAAGTCCTGACATGCTCCCGCGGCAGCGGAGGGCTATTTGGGATATGATGAGCTGCTCATGAGCTCATACAGTCCTTCTGTGCCTGATCCGCTAAGCGGTGCGTCTTGTCAAGGGCTTGCCGGAGGGCCGAGATGTCGTCGTTCTTGGGCACCTCGTTTGGTGAAGTCGGCATTCACGAACTGACTTGCTGTTTTGGCAGCTGCTGAAGCAGCACAGGCTTCGTCAGACATGTAACCATAATATGATGGCCTTGCCGTGGTTCACTCAGCATGGATACCCTTCTGATCTGCAAATGTCGAGTCGATAAAGCAATGCCGGCTTTTGAACCCAACACACTGAACCTCCGTCACTACCTGAATTTACGATGCCGCCTGAGCTTATGCACAGGCTTGCCATCAAGACGTATATCATGTTTCCTGCACAACCCACCTTCCCAGTCAGGGCATGAGCCCACAATTGGCGGAACAGTCCTTCAGGCAAGTCGCTGACCTTTGCATTGACGCCTCCATATGATCCTAAGAATACATCAGAAGACATGAAGCAACGTCCTGTCAATCTACAAGACACTCGCTCAATCGCTGGCTAGGCTCACACCGGGTCTTTTGCTCGGCAAGGTCTTGGGCAAGGCGACTGACATCCTTTGCTCAACAAAGTCTCGCCGGCTAGATCACACTAGCTTCAAATCACGGACAAATCGGCTGAGGCCACACATCATGCATGCTCGAGGCAGAGTCGTTTTTGCGTGCTGCTGCTTTGGCGTGCGTAGCAAGTGCAATGACGAGCTCTCCGGACAACTCCAAGCTTCATGCTGAGCATTGTCAGCCACAGCGCGCATCTCCTCCATAGCTGAGTGGAGCTTGCAAACGTCGTCGCTTTCTTTGGGTACCTTCTTGCTTGCACTGTGCTATGTCTGTCGGTACAACTGCTGATCTGCATCTTGACAAAACTACAACCATACGACCCATGCAGCAATGCCACCACACGTTGGGTGGCAAACGAAGCTGTGTCCTGCACCTCACGACAGAAGTAGATGAACTGCGGACGCTTGGTGTTATGCCTGTTATGCCTACTGCCTACTTGTAAACCCTGGTAAGCAGTGGGCAGCTTGCTGAGCATTGATTTCACGACGGAGCTCCGCCATGGCTTCCTGCATCCGGCTTCGAAACGAATCTGCACAGGAGCTGCGACGAAAGGGAATTTGGGGCTAGGGGCTCGGGGCTTGCGACTTCAGCTTAAACTTAGACCCGGCTTTTTGGCCGGACCGCTTTTCCGCATATTTGGCCGGCAAGAAAGTTCTGGATTTCTAATTTCCAGGCTTATTGGCCGGACCGCCCAGAAGGAGAGTAAGCTTATCCATCCTCTGGATTTCTTATTTCCCTGGTTTTGGGCTGCACCGCCCGAAGAAAAAGAAGAAATCCAGCTCTGGATGTCTTATGTTTTCTGGTTTTTGGTGAGAGGCGGGACATGGTAGGAACAACAGGGGCAAGATAGGAGATCCAGGGTGCGCTGAACTATTTGTTGTCACTTACTGTCACTGTAACCATGCCAAGCTGAGATACATCGCGGCAAGAAGTTGCCTTCTGTTCTCGGCGCTCGCTGTCCAACCGCCTGGTGATTCGGTCCTCGCACTCGGCTGCTAGGTCCGTGACAAGAAACATCGGTCACATTGGTCATGCTTTGGGAACGGCTGGGAATCAGTGGGTCAATCCAGTCGTCCTCAGCAGCAGCTATGTCGCCGTTCATCTGGACAGTCAGATCGCGCTTCATGTTGTAGAGGTTGGCCACCTGCTCAGCTGGATGCCGTTCTTGCTACAAGTAGCACAGGTTTGGACTAAGGCGTGCTTTCAGGAAAAAGCCTTCTGTGCAGTGCCTCTCTGCTGTTTGAATCGTGGGCAACATGCCTTCCGGCAACCTGGCAGGGTCGAGCCTCCTCTTTCTGGTCGCTGTCGAATCGGCGAGTCAATCTATCATCGAGTGTACGCATTTCTTTCCTGAGACGATGCATCCGGTCCATCCAAGTTGTACAGGCTTGACTCGGGAGTTTCGCCCTTCCCAGGCGACGACGTGAGTGCCAAAATATGCCAAACACTGCTGCGCTTCCAGCTACGACAATCGAACAATGAACAAAACGGATGTGTTGGCCGGCACAATCTTGCCGCCGGGAATCCTCATCGTGTTGAGAGCCTGCTTCGTCTGACAGGCTGTCAACACCGGGCACCGACTGGAAGACCACAGCGCAACTTTCTTGTCACTGAATGCACGCTGTGACATGCTTTCTCAATTCTGATGCTGAAAGAGCAGAAACCGGAATTCAGAAGCCAACTGCCATCGTTCGAGCCTCTCCCACCATCATCTCTATCGTATGCTCGATACCCGCGATTTTCGCTTCAAGCGAAGGATCATGGCCCCTTTTGGGAGCAGGGACGGTTGCTGCTTTGCGCAGGACCGGGGCGTCCGAGTGAGCAACTGCTGCACAACATCATATTCCCTTGTAACTCTACTGGTAACAGTGTCTTCGAGGGATTGTCAGTCGCACAAACTGTCTGCCTCCCCGATCCTCCCCGCCTGTCGTTGCTGGCCATGAGCAACGAGGTGTGAATGCCCGAAAGTATAAGCACCTCCGAAGGGATGCAGCACGCTGATGTTATGTTATTTCTGCCGATCCTAAGTCTCAAGGGCTCAGGATGCGGGCAAGGCACAATTATGCACGAATGAATTAACTTGTCAGAAAGCTCGACCTTTCCACTTGCTACCCGTGAGCCGAAGGCGGCAGACGCAAAATTCATGTCTTCAACTCAGCCTTTACGGGTATGCCAAGGTATGAATGACTGTCGCTCCCCGTGAAACCAAGTCGTCTCTTTCACCTCTACGTTTTCCGGTTTCTGCATGTCTTGTCGAGACTGGTCACAAGGCGCGCAGCAAGGACGACACCTGAGATTGCTCTAACGCGTGGCCATCTGCACGCAAAGCGATGGAGTGCATCAGAGTATGTCAACTGAGGTCTGCTTGAAAATGCCTTCGCCTTCCACGGCCCTGCTGGGCAGAGTTCATGAATGTGGCGCGCACACACACACACACACCGCGGAGAGACTCGCATACTGCAACATCTGTAGCAACGCACAGCTGAAGGCAGACGATGGCAGACGAAGCCTGACGAGGCGGGCGAATGCAGTTGGCTACAAACCTGGAATTCAGGGAGGAGGGGGCCCGGAGGGGAGTGTCGATGCGAAAACCCTAACCCTAAGCCTCAAAAGGGCATGGACCGTACCAGTACTACCACCAACACCACAGGCATCACCACCACCAGCACCGGCCCCAGGACCAGCACTTCAACCAGTCCAAATTGGATGCAAAACCGGCAAAATGCACTCGGCACCGTGAGTTTTGGCAGCAATTCCGACAGACTCGTGCATCTCCTGCATATCCATGATCCTTCAGGCTGGATCCCTCGGGTCCCCGACGGCCCCCACCTCTAGGTCCATGGTCCCGATTGGAAGTGGCGGAGAAAGAAACGAATCATTAACCACGTGAACGCAACCGCTTTGTCAACGCCGAATTCACCGGATAGATGACATGCGCGGCGTTCTCCAGCAGGAGCGGGGACATGTCTAGCGTTGCATGCAGCGCTTTGTTGTGTTTCGGACATTTCTTGTGACTCATGCAGCCCAGGCTGCAGCCGAAACAAGCACGAAGAGAATCAAGCTCAGGACCAAATTCCTCAGCACTTGAGGCTTCACGATGCGAGGTTAACTTGGAGGTAGTGACACCATGGCAAGCCAAAGATCAAAAGCACCAAGCTGATGAGCAGGCGCTTGGCGCCTCACAACGGGCTGCACATGTTGCACACTGCACACATGTGACTGTGTTCTGACAATACGCACCGTCTTCATGTTTTTGTTTACGGCACCCCGGCCAGCCCCAGGTACGTAGAGCAAACAAGTGGTCTCAATCTGCAAGTTTCCCTTCAGTAGCGCGGCAAAACCCTTTGACTGTTCTGGAAACTTAGACCTTGCGACACATGCCCTAAGCGGCAACTTTGTAAGCAAGCCCCCAGCAGCATTACCATAAAACCCGCGGCCTAAGTGATGAGCTTCCTTGCAGAGCTCGAAACGAAACCGGTATCGGGTGGTCTTGAATACTGGCGCATTGTTCTGAAGTCAAAGACATGACAAGATGAAGCCCAAACAGAACCAACATCAACTCTGACTGGCAAATGCTGCAAGGGGCATGAAACGCCATCTTCGCGCGAGAGGAAGTCATGATCTGCTGGGCCACCTGGCAGCAGCAGTGTCCTTCAAACATCTACTGCCCAAAGCCAATCGGTTGTAGCTGTGCACTTCTCAACCCGGCCTGTAACGCCGAGAGCTGCAGAAACCGACAGCCTTGCACAAGTCGAAACACAGTGGGCTTGAGCGTTTACTTTAGAGTATCAAGCCGAAGAGCCCGACAAACAAAAGCGGTCGCAGCCGTCGCTCTATGGGTGCAAGGAAGCCGAACATGAAGGTCAGCACCTCACAATGTCACACAAAAAAAGACCCTTCATGTCGATCTGTCCGGCACCTAAAGGCTCTCCAATCCCGTCAGCATCGAAAGCAGTTGCGAGTTACAAGCGCCTGATTGAGGTGCTCTTGTGGCAATGCTGGGTGATCCAGCAGCCACCACGTCGCTGCGATCAGCGGGGTTAGGAGTGCAAACCTTGCAAGAGGCGTATGCACTCGAATCTAATGTCCCAGAGTGCACTGTGACCTTCGGAATTTGGGGGGCTTCGTCCAAACTGCCCTTCTCGCCACGAGGGATATTGCGCTTGGAGACAGGTTGCACTCTCCAAGGGTTGCTTGATGGTGACATCCAGCGGTAGGTCCCGTCTGAAGACTCACGAATGCAGTGTGGGACAGCCCAAATCAAAAACTATGTTGTTGCGGTCGAGCCGTCATGCATCGTTATCTTGGCAGTAGGACTGTTGAACATGTTCGGAAGCAGCCGTGACTAAACCCAATATACGACCATTGTAGGCCCGTCTCATATTGCAACGAAACAGCAGCAGCATTGTTGCTGGTGTTGCTGCTACTACTGCTGCTGCTTCTGCAATGGTGGTTGTTGTTGTTGCCGCTGCAGATGCTGATTCTGATGTGATGCTGGTGCAACTGTGGTGAAGCTGCTGCTTTTGGGGGTACTGGCAATGAGTCGCTTCTGTGTTCTCGGGTCCTGAAGCACAGTTGAAGAAGCAGCGCGACAGAACCATGTAGCATCCGCAAGCACAGCGACAAGCCCAGCTTCGGAAGTTGTAAGTGTTGTCATGTCTTGTCAAGTTCTGCCTCTTCTTCTTGGGCAAGGGGCAAGCAACCGACCATCGCCAGCAGGACTTTCGTGATGTCCATCTGAGTCGGGCCGGTGCAAACAAGGATGCTACAAGCAGTCTGCCATGTAGCCGTATGTAGCCATATGCTCCCACTCTAGAGAAAGATTCAAGGCATGTGACACATGCCTGGGCCGCATTCTGGGGCCAGCACGAAATCACGCTGAACCTGCTCGACATCCAGCTCTGGCCCGCTCCCACTTTCCAATCTTCCCTGAGCAAATGTGCTTGTTAACAACGGCACCAAGCTCGACTCGAAAGAATGAGTTTCGTAGACGAGCCTACGCTCTCCAGTTTGTGCTGATCCATTTGGCTTGCAAGAGCGCCTTCGACCGAAGCTGACCCAACCATCGTTTGTCCAAAATGCAGTCCAGCACACCAGAATGCCCCCCAAAGCTTGAAGATGCTTGAAGCAGGTAAGTGCAAGCAGGCAGTTTCGTTGTCCAACAAATGCCGTTTTCGATCAGTTACGACGTTACGTTCTTGCATATCAAGCGTTGACGTTTTTTTGTGGAGGGGGGGACTTGGTGGGAGACAGACACGGTGCCAGGGGCAAGGTGGTTGGGATGGCAGTAGTACTGGCCGTGGCAGTATGCATATTCAATAGCGACAGCAACAGTAACGGCAACAGGTAATCGGAACAGTGAAGGCAAAAAACAACAACAATAATCGTAACTAGTCGACATGAAAACTCTACTCGCAACAATCGTGTAGTAATGATCAACATCGTAACATTAATAGTTCTCATCAACATCGTCATCATCATCATCAAGATCATGCTCATCATCACAGCCAGGGTTATAGCTACAGCAACCGTACTAATTGCAGCAATGATGACCAGTTTTATTGTTGCTATACTAGACAAACAGTGATAAACATAATAGTACGGGTAAGCATGAATCAACAGATCCAGTCTAACCCAACATTGAGATCTCCAGTTCAGATGACTGGGAGCCGTTAAAATTATGGCCCGAATGATGTAAAGATATGGCAGTTCAGAGTTTCTGATAGTTTGCTGATCCCCATCTGATTTCTTATAGATCTCCGTTTGATTTCTGTTGCTCCCTAATGGATCTTTAGATGCCTGTACGATGCCCACAAAAGCATTTATGCCAAATGCATGCGAGCCGCATTCAACTCCTGTATCCTGAACAGCAGTCCCGTGAAGAATGCCTCGGCGGTGCTGCATCCCTGCATGTCCATGTCTACAATCTCTAGATTTCTGCCAGCGCTGGACTATAGCTGGGCATCTTGAAGTCAGGAAGCACGGGTCCATGTGAACAGATCTTCTGGCAAACCATCCCACGGCAGCGACTCAACGATCCTTGTGCGGCAAATCGCATGTGTGGTGGTAAGGCCAGCGTAGTTTAGCTGAAGCGTGCCAAATCCGAGGCACTCCTCATCCATGCGAGCAGGTATCACGCCTTGGCCCAAGGCTGGATACAAAACACTTGGGAGAACAGGCGCCAGCTTGTGGCATTGTGACTGTCTCACGACTGCTGCCAGGTCGCGCGTGGTGGATGTCAGCATGTGGGTGGTGACAGACAGAACAACTGCGACCACCGCCACTTCGTACCGGAGCACAACCTGAGGTCGCGATAGGTCGGGACGCAAGCCCACGCTCTAACTCTACGAAGAGACACGAAGCGCCATTCATTAGCCTTGTGGCTGCCAGCAATTCAGACGCCCAAGGCCGCAGTAAAGCTGCTAACATGAACGAGGACAGGTGTCCACTCGCTCAGATCTACCCCATCTCTCCCACAGATGGAGGATGGGCGACATCAGCACAGGGCAATCAACAAGCATGGGCGATTTAAGAGCGGGCGCAGGCTAAGACGGAACCGGTTCTAAACTCGTTCTGAGAGGGCAGTGGTGGGCTAGCAATGATGCTTGGACCAGCTTGGCCCCGTGAACCTCACCGCAGTCATGCCAACATGCATGCGCTGTAGGAGGGTTTCAACATGCTTCAACCCGATTTTGTGGGCAGATCCTCGTTTTCCCGTCCCCCTCCCGCACCCCCACGCAACCCCCGCTACAAAGAGCCAGTTCCGAAAGTTTCGCCTTCGCTTGGCAGTTCACATTAACAATGCTGGGCATGCGGATTGCTGCTGGAACCGATGTCACCAGTGACAGCACAACCCAAAGCCTTGGTGCTGATTCTTACCGCCCTTCTTTGCAGAGGCTTGGGGCCTGAGGAGACCTGCAGGCCGACGAGCTGCGACGAGCCATGAGCAGCTCGAGGCTCTCGCGAAGGCCATCCGACGGCCATCGCGAGGCACGGAGGCCCGAATGAAAAGAATGGGAACTGAACGAGCGACTGAAACACTCCAGCCCCCTCAGCTTCGATTAGTCAATGAACCCACCCAAGACACAACGTAAAGCTGTACAGCAGGTAGGTTGCAGATCTTATTTTGCCAGATACTCCGAGTTCGAATTTCGGTATACTTTCCTGGCATAAAGGCAGAAGCGCACTGCCTGTAAGCGTTCTTTGCTGTTCGTCGTGCTGTACAGTGCAAAGCGCAAAGCAACTGTACAGTCCATCCCCACAGTTGCAGGCAAAATCACTCGAGGGTTGTGAACACTGCTTCGCCAATGTCCGGCGAGCAGGCAAAATTAAACGGAGATGACCACTTCCACTTGAAGCATGGTGGGCTGCTGCTCAAAAGCAGAAACGCCCTCTGACACCTTGAATCTGTTGTCCCTTGGCAGCAGAATAACTACTTACCACCACAAGCTTGAGCTCCAGAATGCTCCAAGGTGTGTTATTTCCGCGACGAGCGCACTGTTGACATGTGAAGTCTCTTGCTAACTCTGGCCGGGCATCTGAGAGCCTCAAAGCTGGCACTGACTCCATGCCTGGGAAACCACTGGCCAAAGCCTCGGAAACATCTGAATCAAACACGAATCCGATGGAAAAAGCGGACAGCTGCACGTAGATTTACGGAATCCATTCTCACTGCTTTCTCGAATGAACAGGGGCCTGGAAGCTGCAGGAGGATCATCAGGCAGAAGCTGTTCAACGGCTTTGAGCTTCCTCTGCGCACGGCTGTTGGACCGGATGCGAGCGCCAGGACAGACGTTAACAAGGACGAGTTCTGAACAACTGAGGGCAGCACCTGGTGAAGCCTTCCCCGAAACAGCCGTGGACATTGCAACCAAGCTGGGTGGTGAATTCCTCAAACAGCAAAATTTCACGCAGAGGACAGTCGGCCGGGTGGATTCTTCCTCATTGCAGGTTTCGGCGCACCCTTTTAGAGCTGGGTGATGTGCCCACAATAACCAAAGTACTAAAACAGGATCACAGGCTGTCACAATAGCTCATACATGCTCACACTCACCACAATCTCCGACTTGGACGTGTCTGCATAAGATGTTCTCATCTCTTGTCATTGTGCCAGAGCACACCATCGAATCCAACACATGCCGGAAATGTCGCCTGAGTACTGCGTTCAGACAGGTAATGAATCTGAGCCATGCGGCTGGAGCGAACAGGCAGGAGTGCTTCCGCAAACCTTTAATTCGCATCTTTACCTGCAAGTTTCCGGGTGAGAGTGCCGCAACACCGTTTGCTTCTGGCACTGGCCGCTCAAGCTGCACACTGCAATGCAGACTGACTTGAAAGAAGGCGGCCTCCAAGACGTCTGAAGGAGGTCTTGGGCCTGAAGGGTCTGACAGCCCATGTCCTGAGACAGTTGATAACAAAAAGCTAGTGCAGGCTGCAGGGAGCAACAGTCTGCAAATGTAAGGCCCAAGATCCCTTTCTCCAGGATGCAGAAGCGGGAGCAGCTTTTGCTGGAAACCCAAACTCATTGCATGCCCAGCCACGGAAAACGTCCTCTCCAACTTTCTGAAGCCGGGCGCCGAACTCTTCAATTGTCATGTTGCACCCTCGGTTTGAACATCCGATGCTACTTACTGGACCTGCAGCGCCTGGCCTCACAGATGCAACAGTTGCCCTGGAACGCTCATCTACCCCTGTCGCCCCGAGTCGTAGTGATGCTACTGACACCCTTTAGAATAGCTTCTTAAGCAAGTAGCCCTGAGATCTGCACAGCAGTCTTACGACAGGCTCACCAGAACCGGAATCGTCGAAGCGTGCCCCCACTGAGAAGTTGCTTGTAAACTGCATGCCAGTCTCTGTCTTGCCCAGGCGCGTACCTAGGTGAACATGGAAAGTCTGCAACAAATACTACAGAGCCTCTTCTCGGTCTTAGGCGAGGTGCCAGTCAATCAGATGCACCACGGTCGCGCATGCTGAGTCAGCCTGCGTACAGCCACACCCATGCAAAGGTTCAGCAAGGACCATGAGATTCTCTGTCAGAGCGAGCTTGGTTCAGTGCGCACTGGACTTGCCAAGCTTCAACCTTCGGGATCCTTCGGGCTCGAATCAGCATTGGATCAAGCCTTCTGTGCCAAACAGCCCGAGGAATTGCTGGGTCTGAGCCTGCCTCAGAGGCTCCGGCACAAGCACCCGTTCAGCGACCAACAATAGAGTCCACATGTAGAAATCGAGTTGCGATAGACCCTCAACGAGCACACGCCAAAGCGAAGACAACTTTCCGCCACAGGGGTACTGTCTGCGGACATACTAGCCCCCACATGCCCCTGCCACGTCATCACAGAAGATCTGCTGGAATTTACTTCACGTGCCGCTGTGTACTGCCGGTATCGTGGCCGAGATGCAGCGCTTCAGGTCTGGCAAACCTGCTTAAAGCACCAGACTTGTTTGTTAGCTTCAATCGGCTGGCACTAGGTCACTAAGTGTTTACTCCACCCGCCTCCTGAGACCGCATATCGAATGTCGCATCTCCTGGCATGTGACACACGAACTGCAAAAGGCGAGTCATACAGCAGCATCAGTGTACATTTCTTCGACGAAGCTACAGATCATAGCCAAGCCACCGAATCTCACCAAGCGCTGCATCGACAGACATCTTCGCACGCAAGAAACAGAACCTCGGGCAAGCTATTGCACACGCAGCCCTTGAGCCGGCAGGCCAATGCTGACTTGCTACCTTATCCGCACGTCAAGACTGCAATGGGCATGGCAAAACGTGTTGGCGGCAAGCCACAGTCGCATCAGTGGCTCTTTGGCTCGGAAAATCTGACGAGGAACGCCTCGGCACGGGATTTGCATACTCAATGCAGCTGCAGCCCAAGGATGTCGATGCAACGTTTGAAGCCACACATGGCGAACAGCACACTGCACCGGTGCGAGAAACAAGCAGGATCCCGCATCTACCAGACCACCGCACGTGCCCCTCACTTTACGATTCAGACCTCGGAACCAGCCGAAGTTTGCACAAGTCTTGGATCACACGCAGCCATCTGAATTTATGTACATCTGGCCGCTTGTGTTTGTGTGTGTCCCCTGGCAGTGCGCGAGCCAACCCGGCAACACTTAGAATAGTGCGCTGAGTCTAAAGACGTGATTTATGTTTTGCGATGCGTTTCCAATTGTGCTGAACTTGCCGTATTTTTTGCAAGCAGACGAGTACAGCGCTGCTGCATCTTGCTTTGAGGCGACTTCCATTCATAGAGCCTTCTAACGACCTGATGACGTGGGGAAAGACTCTTGCTCAAACAGTCTGACATGAGGAGCAGCTGCTGTATTGGTTGCATGCTTAAGGCCCACGCATCTTTGGAAATTCCGAGCAATATCACTGTCGTTTCTGCCTGCCTTCGCACCAGGCTACGAAGATGGTTCAGTCGTGCAGACGCTGCTGAAGTGCTTTGTGACTGTGATTCTGTCCCATGCACCAGTACCAGTGCATAAGAAGGACTGAAAACTGTGCAAACGATCTTTGAAGGTTGATCTTTGCCGCCCATCCACTAAGCTCGCCTCTTGGTGCACGTGATAATACTCAGCAGCCGTCTCCGTCGCAACACGATAAGCCGTGTATCCAGATTTCGCGTGCATAATCCACTCGGAACCTGGGTGAAATGCAGAGTCTGCGGGCATCATGCTGCAGCATGGATGTTCAGAGCCGGCGTGCAAAAGGCTGATCCAGGTGCCGTGCCGTTGCCATTGCCGGCCAGATTGAACTCACCCCCGAGTCGAGCAACACCTGTTTGAACAAAATCTCTTCGCATCCCAAGGCCAATTTTGAACAACACTTCCGCCAGAATGAACAGGCAGACAACAAAGTCGAAGCTGGTTTCGAATGTCTTTGAGTCTTGCCGAGGTCGTCTTGCCTGGTGCTGCCGCTGAGAAAGCACAACTGTTCCCACAGGTTCACACGTGTTTACACATCGACCCTCACTTTCCTTCCAATGTAGCAGCAGAAACCAGGTAGAGAATCAAAAAGCACACCGCAAGCAAACCACCGCCTTTGCCTGCCGTGCACCACAAGTGCCAGCCACTACAGTAGCTTGACTCAACACTTAGTGACACTTTGTGACATAGTCGACTGCACATCTCTCCTCGATAGGGTCCGGAAGCAGCGTTCTCGCCGAAGAAGGTCTGGCGGCTAAGCAGATCTTTGGCTAAATTGGTTGCTCATGATGGCCAGGCATGGATACCTGAAGATGTGAGCCTGAGGAAGCCGATTTTGATTCCTGCAAGTCTACAGTCTGCGTCTTCTTGGTCCTCTGGTGTATCAAACCCGAACAACCCTTGTGAACATGTGTCATCTCATTTAGGCCTCAATCTACAGGAGTATCCACTCCTGAACAAACATCACTTCTCAGAGGATTTGCGTTGTGTTTGCAAAGCTCACCCGGCCATCGTAACTCGGGCGCGATGAATAACTGTCTAAAACCAAGGTTATCAGGTGGCCTTGCCAGGGCACAAGTCTCCGTGTTTGACTTCACGAAGACCGCTGCCGGGTAGCCTGATGGAAGTTACAAAGAAGTGCAGAAAGCATCATGCAAAAGGTAGGGGCATCTCAAGTACGTCTATCGTGTAGTTTGCATTTTCTGTTTGCTTCTGAGCCGGTCATAAAATTGTCAAGATGAGTGGGACTCTACATGCAGATGCTATTCACTCCTTCTCCTGCCCATCGGCTCCCAAGCAGTGCCTCCCTCACATCAAGCAACACGAGAAAAAGCATGAACAACCAGGTCGCCTCGAACCTGTCAGTGTCCCCACAGCAATAACGCGGCTATGCGGCCAGACGCTCTGAACGGGTTTGCTCTCCCTCTTGGCGACAGATCTGCATGCAGGCCCAGTCGCTCTTGCATGGTTGGTGCGATGATCAAGTTGTAACTCTGGTCTAGAATCCTTACCGAATTGCAAGACAGTCACATTTCCAGGCAAACTGCGTGCTACTCAGAGGCAAGCGGCCAAATGAAGCTTCCATGCTGTTCACGCCGCTGTGGCCACATGTGGGGCAGTGAAGAAAAAAGGGTCGATACCAGTGTTTGGTTTAGCCTCAGATACGCATGGCAATGGTGCACAATTCCATGCTGCAAGAGAAGGTTTGTCCTCTCCCTGACTTACTTTTACTCCGTCAAGGAGATCTGTGGGCATTTTTTGTAAGATGCAGTCCTGCCCGCGGTTCCTCTTTGAGCTGACTGTCCACCGCTGCTCCGGAACCTAAATACGGCCCCTCTTAGCCCGGTTCTGTCTCTTTGAGCCGAAGCCTACGTCAAACTTTAGCAGGCTTCCTAGGGTTCCGTCGCCATGTCTCTCTGCAGCTTGGGTACGGGTGCGGAGTCGCATCTGTCAGGAGAAACACCGGACAAGTGACAAGGGCAAGAAGCTCAATGTTCAAGACTTGTACCCACACAATCTCGACAGAGCTTGCAACACGGCACTCCCCTGCCTCCTTGTAGCCACAGAAAAGCATTCCCGCAGGCACACAGCACCAAACGCTCGGGAGGGAGGGCATAGGGACCATGCCATTGCCCCCAGTTCACAGCTGTAACCTTACACCGGAACGATGATTTGACAAGCGCACACCGACTTTGCGTTTTACGAAGTTTCACACGTGCATTGCAACTCAGCAACGTTGGGCAAACCGAGTTGCTCCAGATCCTCCCGTTGGGCACACTCTCACTCTGTCTCACTGCAAGCGGCACACGATTGACCCTCTTCACATGCTCTGTTGGAATGCTACATCACGGCTCGTCCTGAGGGGAAACATGTCCGCAAACGTTGCGAGGTTCGACCGGCCTGCTACCAACGGAGACGGGTTGTTCTTCACTTCGGATGCTCGAAACAAAGCGAAGTGCGACTAGTCCTTTTCACAGCAGCAGCTTGCGCCGGCTCTCAGCAAGACATGTCTTCTCGTCGAGGCATCGTCCCATGTGTGGTTTTGACGTTGGCGGCGATGGGGACGGTCTCTTGGAATGTAGGATCTGTGTAGACGAGGACTCCACGAAACGTTTCTGGGACCAGCGATGCCGTGAGCACAAAGCACACGAGCATCAGTCCAGCTGACATGTAGAAAAATGCTTCATGTGTTCCAGAGGTACTGAGCAAGAACTCATAAAACACGGGTGCGATGAAGGCACCAATCCGACCAAAGCTCAGCACGGTTGCTGTTCCACAGGCACGTACGACTGTGGGATAGCTCTCAGCAGCGAGAACGTAGATTGACACGGAACCAACTTGAGGAAAGGCTTTGCTGCCATAATAGCCCAACCGAATGAAGGATTCACTGCTGCTGCAAAACCTTCCGTGATGCAATCTCCGATCCACCGACAGCTACAAGTGAAGCTCAATCAATTATAAGTAGCAGTTCGAGCGTGTGCTTGCACACGGAACCATCAGAACCCTGTAACTATACATGCAGCACATGCTTCCAACCATTGCATGTGATGTTGCGCATGAAGGGTCAAAACCTACAAACAAACACGTCGATAGATGTACATATATAAATGTGTGTATATATATATGTATACATATTTGTATATGTGTATGTATAGGCATGTGCATATGCATATGCAAAAGCAGATGCACATGGATATGGATATGTATATGTATATGTACGTGTGTATATATATACAGAACATATACATATACATATACATGTACATATACATATACATAGACA